AAAAGCCAGGGTGATAGGGGAGGGCCCCCATGTGCAGTTGTTTCAGTTTTGCACACTGCATAAGGGCACCACACATTGCAGTCGTCCATAAGGAAGTGCACAGATGAGTTACAAGGTCCTAGTCCCCCCCTCTCTGCCACACATACACACACACAAAAACCCATACTGTCAACATGGCATGCACACATTAGGACAGCATGTTCCTACATGCTCAGTGAGACACACAGGCACTGAGCTGCATCCTGTCTTGACTGGGCTAGGACTGTCCTCAGGCCACATTTCTCCCTCCCTTGCTGCAATTAGAGACCAATTTCCACCCCTGTTATTCTTCAAACAAACCTGACACAGTCATCCCTCTGGGTCTGGGTGGGGGAGAGGTAGGGAGTGCTTTCCTGTGGTAAGAGGAGGTGTGTGTGTGTGTGTGTGTGTGTGTGTGTGTGTGTGTGTGTGTGTGTGAATAGACATTAGGAACTGAAAATTGGAGAGGGCTAACTCTGCTAAGGGACTTGAAAATTGTTGCCAGGACACATGAGGCAGATAGCAAGTGTCCACTATGCCATGTAAAGGGCTTGGCACAGTGCTTAGTGCATGGCACCCACTCAACCAAGTGGCCATCAGCACTGCCCAGCACAATGCCACCAGCACCTTCCCCCAAACCAAGGGCCACACTCAGAGCCCCCTTTGTGGGCCTGGTGCCCCAGTGTATCTTTCTGCACTGCCACAGCTCTGGATGCCCTTTTCTCTTTGACTTGGGAGCACTCTAAGGTGATGGACCACCCCAGTTTGCCTGGGCTGTCCCAGTCTTAGCACTGAAGGTCCCACCTCCAAGGAAACTCCTCTCAGTCCTGGGCAAACCAGGATGCTGGGCACCCTGCTTCTTTTCTTCAGTTGGGAGACGACAGGGGGACACCTTTGGTCTAGCACTCAGAGTTTCTGCTGAGGCGTTCTACTGTGGTCATTTTTTGCCATTACTTCCTGAAATACCTTTTCTGTCCTTTCCTCTCTCTTCTCTCTTTCTGATACTCCTGTGATGTGTATGTTCGTACACGAATTATGTCCCATATATCTCTGAGGTTCTGTTCATTTTGTTTGTTCTTTAAATTTCTGTTCTTCAGCTCCCATAATCTCTATTGCTCTGTCTTTGAGCTTACTGATTCCTTCTGCCAACCTAACCGTTGAGCTCGGTAATGAATCTTTCATTTTGGTTACTGCACTTTTCAACTCCAGAATTCCCATTTGGTCCTCCTTTACAATTCCTATCACTTTAATGATATTCTATTTGATGACTCATCATCATGATGTTGAAATAACAAGTCACTGAAAGCCTAAACACAAATAAAGGTACTTGATCTACTGGACTTCCTAATAATTTAGAAAATCTATTAGTCATTTTAGATAGACAGAAATCTACTATTGAAGTCAGCAGATAAAGCAAATTAGATTTTTAAGGGAAGAGAGGGCTGTAACGGCACGTTTCTCCTTCCAAAGCAGGAAAGGCATAAACTTTAGACATGGCTGGATCCGCTGCTGGCACCCAGCTCCAAACAAGCCTCCCCTCTCACACTGTGGGTTTGGGTTTGGGGAGATAAGGAAACAGAAGCACTAAGGCAACAGGAGTGCCAAAAATAAAAGGGAGGCATATATCAATGAAGCAAGGATGATCATTTAGCAGGTTTTCAGGTACTCCATCATAACCACTGCACTGTGAAACACAGGCCTGAGGGAAAAGGGCAGAGGGAGGAGATGAGAAGACGAGGGTTAGGGCAGATGGAAGTTGCAGTGCTGTCATGGCACGAGCTTCCAATTAGCAACTTTTTACAAAATGAACAACACTTCTGCCAGCCTTTTGGTATTTTCTGCTTATACTGATTTATGTAAATTGCCAGCATTTGGGGGTTTACAGATTTTCTTCATCAAAGTATTTCTTCATCAAACAATTTGGAAGTTCTTCATTTACCCCTGACATATAGAGATAATGTGAAGCTCTTAAAAGAAAACAGCACATAAAACTTCCTTCAATAAACTCCTTCATGAAGCCTTTGAACCTCCCTGTCTCTGTCTTCCTTCCACTGTGCCATGTTTTGCTCTGTGCCAAGGACACATGCTTGGTAACCCCTCCCACTCAGGACATCTAAAAGCAAAGAAGCAGCCTTTCCCAGCTTCAGTGGATTCCCCGAGGCCCCCAAATTACCTTTCTTTTCTTTCCCTGACATGTTTAAGAACTTGTGTTCTCAGAACTCTCCCCTTGAGATCTGATTCCCTACTTTACCTTCCATTCCCTCTGCCTCCAAACCCAGTTTAAAGCCTGCAGATTACTGTTCTATGCTTCTACTGCCCACCCCTCTCCCTGCTCCCAATAAACTCTGAACACCATTAAGTTAGTTGACCTAATGGGGACATTAAGATGAATACACTGTGTGGGAGGGTCATTGTAATTCTCCCTCAGAATAGGAATAATGGCAGAGAGGGACATCCATAAGTAAGGACAAAGAGAAGTTCCTAAGTAAACAAGGAAATCTGAGTTTCTGATTACTACTGACAACCTTAGTAGTTATTTCTATGACTCCTAGGTATACCCACAGTGATTGTCATCAGGGCTTTATAAAGGGTCCCTGTGCCTTTTTTGAGAGGCAGTGTGGAAGAGGTACCCAGAATACCTTACCCTACTCCATAAATAAGCCTGGTTGGGGAGGAACCCCTAGTAGCAGAAGTGAAGGAGGGCCACTCCTGTGGCTTGTAGAAAACAGGGTAGAGCTAAGTGTAACTACCATGAGGTCCCATGACCACAACACTGTTTGCTCCAAAAAGGCCCAGTTATGATCACGATCAAGTACAAACTCCTTAATCTAGCATTGAAGATTTGAAATCAAAATATCAAACCAGTCTTTCAAAAAGAATTTTCACTAATCATTAACAAGAGTCAAGGGTGACCTCCCTCAGTAATCCTGATATTCACCAGGAATGACCTCCCCCAGGCTCCCCACTACCCATATCCACCCCCACTTCAAGGCTCAATTGAAGCTCCACCTTCCCCATGAAGCTTTATCTTACCAACAGGCAGCATTGCCCCCTGCCCCACACCCCCCTCCCCCCAGTCTCCTCCAGCAGATAATTTGAACATTCATGTGGCACTTAATACACACATAGACCCTCTTTAAACTGTTTTCTAGGAATGTGTCTTCAGCTCCCAGACAAAACCACTAGTTCTGTAAGCACAGGATCGGCTTGTGTTAGATGAGGTTGTAATTAGGTATAAACCCAGTAGCACCCAGGACACGATGTGTGCTCAATCAACTTTTCCCAACTGATGACTGATTGAACCGCAATCAAGCACAAGTTGAAAATTTGAGTTAGTGGGGCCAAAAATATGTTAATTCCTGTGATGGTTGGCAGAACTTAACACTTGTCTAAAGACACCAGAGCGAGCATCCTTTGAGTAATAAGCCTCACGAATCAGATACTCATGTAGAGCCAAATTGATCACTCTGGACGAAATTCTGGATTCTAAAAGCATCAGGATTTCCAGAATCCACTAATTATTATTATAATATTTTTAGGCATTTAACTTAACAGTGCTGAGAGAGCAAAAAATCCACACAGCCTCTCTAAAAGGAATAATCACATGAATAGCTCTTTATAATTTTCCTTGCATTGTCAAGTGGCTCGTAAAACAACCTTGAGAGGTAGAATGGGAAGTTAGGAAAGACCGGTGGCAGAGAGGGCTAGGCTGACTCTTATAGTCACTCTTAGGTAGAAAGTATCTACAGATTACATACTTCTTGGACATGTGGACTCCTTTACAAAGAGGTCTCTTTGTTTTTGATTTTATACTTCCTGAAAACTTGGTCTCCAGAGCTCCTAGTTCCACACGATGCTGAAAGCTGGCATTCCAGGACACCCACACAGCCTTTCAGATGAGTTCAATCAATCAGATCAATTCAATCAAGCCCAGAGGTCTCCTAGGGTACTTATGCCGCATACATCTTAGGTAACCAACCCTGAAGCCCAGCGACTTGCCAGTGCGCTGTAGTCGCTAAGACAAAAACCACGTGGGTTTTTCCAAGGGTCCGCTGAGGAACCACTTCCTAACTCTTTGTCATTGCATTCTGGGATGTGGGACTAAACTTTCACGGAATCAGCATCTGGGTTCTTTTTTCAGAGGAGGATGCTGAACAGAAAGCTGCAGGAAGTGGCTGGAGTGCGGTGGGGGTGGTGGGTTCACCCCACCTGCCCATCTCCTATGCCCCAGGCTCCGTGACCTCAAAACAACAGGGTCTGGACCCTACACACGTATTATTTTTCTTATTTCCATGAACCAGGAATAATGATTTTGGTTCCTATATTTGAGGAAAGGGGTAGAAGAGGAGCGACTTTCGGGACTAAGGGCCCAGGCCCCATTTTTCCGCCTGGGGTACCTCAGGTTAGGTATTTATTTCCTACAGTACCTTCCCTGGGATGATCCCTGCGTAAGCCAGTTGCAACTTGGATGGCTAAGAAAAAAATGCACTCTTGACGCCTGGCCAACCTAGAGCCAGTTCGCCGCGCCGGTATGAACATGAAATGTTTACCTGAGATCTGACATTGTAGGGATTTATCTGCTATGAGGCATGAGAGAGATTCAAAAGTTAATTTAGAAGTCATTTTTTAATTTTTAAAAATAAGTAATATATAGTTACAAAAAAGATTATCCGCCGCGCGGCACGGAGAAACCCAATCCTATCAGCCGGCCACGAGTTTCGGGTGCAAATGAGGACATGAGGAGTGGGAGGAGCTGTGGCGCATCGGGGAGGCGGGAATTGGTTTCCTGGCAACGGCCCCGGCGACTGGCCAGTCCAACTACAGCCGAGGCCAATGGCAAAGCGCCTGAAAGGCGTGCGTCACGGCGAGGCGGGACTTGGTCTCTTGGCAACGGCCCCGGCGATTGGCCAGCCCGTTTGCAGCCGTGGCCAACGGCCAGGTGCCTGGCAAACGCTCGTCGCAGCGACTGCGGCTGCGCGGGAGATTCGAATTAGCGGTGGTTCCTCGCTCTGTTTGCTGGTGTAACTGTGGCTGACCGCGTCTTTCGCCATGGACTACCCGGAAAATGCCCTCCAGTGAGTGTGGATCTGGTGGGCGGGCGGGCACTGAGGCACCTCGGGTTCGTGCCTGGGTTCCGCCGGCCACGGGTCCCGGGGTCCCTTTTCCTCTACCCCTCCCGCCCCTTTCCTTGGCCATGGGGGTTGTTCTCCCTTCCCCCATCACTCCATTCAGGCTGTGGGCCACTCGGAGCCGTGGACGGACTTCCACCGTGTGGCCGGCGCTCTCGCCCAGACCCCAGCCTCGTCTGTGGGCCGTAGCAGTTTGGAGGGATTTGGCCAATTCTGAGGAGCTAGCACTGGGCATGCGCCATTGGATGGGTGGGGAGGGGTGGGGAAAGCCCAACCCACCAAAAATCCTAAACCTGTGTGTAGGTTTCCTGAGAAACTTTCAAAGCTACTCATAAAAAATGCTATACAGTAGGGAGAGAACTTAAAATTGCTCTTATCCATCACCCCACAGTCAGTCTTTGAATGATGTGTACTTTAGGGGGGAAAAACCATGCGTATTGTCATTTATGTCAGCCTGCTAACAGTTTTTAAAATTCCCACGCCTTTGCTTTACGGCTTAGAAGATTTATCCCCACGGTTTCAAAAGCATTTAAAACAGTGAAACTGCATGTGGCAGGAGGTAAAGCTGGTGAGTTTTGTCAGCACTAGGGCGATCTTACTCTGGAATCAGACGACAGGGGTCGTTAAGTACCATCAAAACAAAAATCTGTTTGCTCTAAGACTCTTTCTTTAGCCTTCAATCTAGCCAGCCAAGGATTTCACTTTCAAAAGCTATTTATTTTTTCTCCTTTTTAAAGGAGAAATCAGGCATTTCTGACCTTATTTTGACTTTCTAAAGACTTATTTGCTTTAATGAACTGGGTGTTTTAGTATTAACTTGGAGTATACTTGGTCATGTTTCTAGGGAAATGGAGTCAGTATTAGAACATGAAATGTTTACCTTGGATCTGGCATTGTAGGGATTTATCTGCTATGAGGCATGAGAGAGATTCAAAAGTTAGAAGTAATATTTTTTTTTAATTTTTAAAAATAAGTAATATATAGTTACAAAAAAGATTTAGAAAAGTATTCACTGAGATCTCTACCTGTCTATTCTCCCACCCTCTGATATGTTACCATTTTTCTGGTTTATTTTTCAAGTGTTCCTTTTTGCAAATATAACTATTTTAACCATATATTAATACATCTACATATGTTCGTGCATGTTTACAGTTCCTGCCTTTATCTCATAGAATGTAGCACAGTATATGCTGCTTTTTTAACACTATCCTCGGAGATTTCTGTCAATACATAGAGTTCTTTCTCATTCTTTATAACTGCATAATATTTCAAGTACCATAATTGACCTAAAAAGTCCCCCGTTGGTAGATAATTGGGTTGTTGACAGCCTCTTGCTATTACAAATAGTGCCGCAGTGAAAAGACTAGTACATGTGGCTTTGCACATACACAGATGGATCGGTCTCCTAGATTCCCAGAAGCGGGTTTGCTAAATCAAAGAGTAAATCTGTGGGTAATTTTGGTAGATATTAGCAATTCCCTTGGCAGGATTGAGAACACGCCCACCTGAAGCAAGATGTGAGTTACCTGCTGCCACTGCTCTGTCTACACACTCACATTTGTGCCAGTCTGGTGGGTGAGAGAGTGACCCACGGAGGTGACTTTCTCTTCTCAGAGAGGTTGAGTATTTTTCTGTGGAATGCAACTTAAAATTGGGTTGCTTTTTTTTTTTTTTTTTTTTTGCAGTTTCTAGAAGTTCTCTCTCGTTATCCCAGTTTATCATTTCTCTTTTGACTCTGCTTGGTGTTTTGTTGGTTTCTTGGGTCTATTTTAAAGACAAGGAGAAAATCCTGAGAAGTCCTGAATTAAATTACAGCAAGCCAAAGGGTGGAAGGAAGGGACAGAAAAGGGTTAATGAGTTAACAACTGCAGTGTGAAACCAACAAAAGACTCCTCTCACTCCTGAGTGTGTGTTGGAATTGTTAGTTAACTTCTAGGTGGCTATTTCCGGGATTATCTGTAAAGAAAGAATAGCCAGGGTGGGCGCCCTGGAGCTTTGGGACTCTGTCACGCCCAGCCCAGAATGGCCCCGTTTCACCTCCCCCCACTGGCCCCCTTTGTCTACAGCTATTGTGAATCCTTTAACAACTGCTCCCATCTACACACACACACACACACACTTGGTGTGTAAAAACACTTGCAAAACGAGGGATGAAGGACATGTTGTCTTTCCTACTTACCGGTAATCATGCTGCTGGTGGCTTAGACTTCGGGCCCAGGACCAGTCTTTTTTTTTTTTTTTAGATGAGCCATCGTGCCACCTGTTGGCCGCTCAGCGGCAGCTCAGCTCAGGCCTGGCATCGAACCGCTGTTGCTCAGAGCTCAAACTCTTGAGCGAGCTCTTAACCAACTGAGCCACTCGGCCGGTCCCATAAACCCTTTCTTTTAATAAAAAGACGTTTAGCCATGAGAATTAAAATTTTTAACGGACATGTAGTAGCTTTATATATATGTAGTTGACTTTATCCAGCTTTTCTTTTGTGACTTCTGGATGTTGAGCCATAAGATACATTGATTTCATTTGTATACTGAGATTATAGCTAGAAATTTGCTTTTAAATCTTTTTTTCCAAAAAATCATTGTAATTTATCTGATAGAAAACATTGAAGTCTTCCTTAATTTGACTCTTTCACACCATTTGCAATCCCATCAACAAGTCCCATTGTTTCTTTCTCCAAAACACCCCAGTTTCACACTTGCCTTGTTCCCACCCTGTCACTGGGACTGCATTAGTTTCGCACTTCTCTTCTTGTCTCAATTCCCACCCCTTCATATGGAGACTAAGTAAATGCTTTAGGTGCACATTAGATTTTGTCACGCCCAAAATGTGGCTCCCTAGCAGTGATCAAAAGGCAGGCCTCCCCTGACCACTCTCCTGAAATAGGAAGTCTTGTTACACTGTCACCACTTATCCCGGTTGTTTCCCCTTGGTGTTTAACGTTACCTGAGTTATCTTACATGTTTCTGTTTGTTTGTTTGCCCCACTAGCACCTGAGCAGCCTAGGAGAACTTGCTTTGCCTTGTTGGGTTTTTTTTGAAGCTGTGGTTGGGTATGTGGAAGTAGGGGCCAGCAGGGCTCTCTGGAAGCTGGGCTCACTGATGATGAGCTCTGTTGTCCTGTATTTTTACCGCAGGGACACTGTTATGTTGAGGCCTGGGAAGCCAACTATCTGGAAATCCCCATTGGTGGTACCCTGAGCTGGCGTACCCACTCACAAGCCCTCTTTAGATCTCCTGAGCAGCAAGGGGAGGGACTGAGCCCAAGCCGCATCCCACCAGTAGGCAGGGAAGCAGCAAACTTGTGGTCACTGCTCCCTGGTGGTGGTGGTGACATTGGGATCAGTGAGAGGAGGAGACTCTTGGGGGTAGAGCTGGGGACCCTCTTCCAGCTGTGTCTTTCTAGGCCTTGGGTCTTCCTTTCCTTGGAAAAACTGCTTCTGACCACTCCAAGGGAGTGCTCCTTTCATTTGTATGTAACATTTGAATTCATGTGTAGGATTTCCATTTTAAGGTATATAAGTGATAAATATAAAATAAAATATATCTTTCGCTTTTAGGAATTATACTAACATCCCACATGCATACTTTCCTCTTTTCTAGAATGTTTGAGGCCCATATGCAGCGGTACAAGGGTGATGACCCACTTGGTGAATGGGAAAGGTCAGCATTCCACCTATTTCTTTCCTTTAAACAAAACTATTTGCTGCCCTGAAAATTAACATTATCCATATTTTCCTAGTTACATGCAGTGGGTAGAAGAGAATTTTCCTGAGAATAAAGAATACTTGACAACTCTATTACAACATTTAATGAAGGAATTCTTAGATAAGAAGAGATACCACAATGACCCAAGGTTCATCAATTATTGTTTAAAATTTGTAAGTGTATTTTCGGGTATAATCAAATCATAATTGTGTTGTACTTTTGCTTTTTTCCCCAGATTATAAGATCATTTTAGACTATTTTTTCTTTTAATTTCTTGTGTTTTCAGTCATAAATTTTTTAAAGTTTTATTGTCAGAGATGTGTATTTTAGATCCTTTTGGCTTCTGTGTTTGTGGAGTCAGTAATTTAATTTAAAAACGCTCTTTCTCTGTGTATCAAGTCTGTAAATGTTACAACACATGGTAAAAACTATTCAATTAAAAGGTTCATTGGATGAGAAGTGTGTTTGGGGAAGGGGGAGAAGCAAGCACTCCCTAGTACTAAGAGTTCCTAAGAATAAACTAAATTCATTGAGGATAATTAACAAAATATTAACTCTCAGAAACTGAGTTTAGTACTAAAAGGAGAAGGCTGCCTCAGGTGAGGCTTTAAAAGGCTGGGTCTTTTTGATCTTGAGGTACAGGCTTGTGAACATGAGTTCTAGGAATAAAATCATGAATGATTTTATTCATGAATAAACATGGTCAGGTTCACTAGATTACAAAATACCAGCATAGAGGCATAGTATGGAACATGACCAAGCTCAGAGTAAGACAGTACTACTTTATAGAGTAGGTTACTATAGCACCTGCTATCTTGGGACTTAATCTGGGTAATTATGGGGACATAGAGTGTTCTGGAAAGGAATGAGCTTGACTTTTCAGTTTGTCATCAGAACCCCCCGGCCTTCCCCCTCTCCCCCTGAAGCTTCTGGCTGGTCTGGTTCTTTCGTTCTCATGCCTGTTGGCTTTGGGTTTCTATAGGCTGAGTGCAACACTGACCGTCACCAGTTTTTTGAGTTTCTGTACAACCATGGGATTGGGACGCTGTCCTCTCCTCTGTACATGGCCTGGGCTGGGCACCTGGAGGTCCAGGGAGAGCTGCAACATGCCAGTGCCATCTTCCGGAGAGGAATTCAGAACGGGGCGGAACCTGGAGAGCTGCTACAGCAACAGTACAGGTAGTTTGGGGTGGAGCTCGGCGCCGGGCTTCTGGCTTTGAAATGTGATGTTCGCTCAGAGGACTGTTACTGTCATCATCTTGTTTTGGAAATTGTGGATAATACAGAAGAGTGGCATGGAAAGAAGCTGCCCAGAAATACTACTGTTAATATTTTGTGCAGTTCCTGCCAATATCTTTTCTCCTCTGCCTCTGTGTGCCTTTATGTCTGTGTGTTTTAACAATCATACTGTACGTCTGCTTGTATACACTGAGCCTTAACACTGCTCTTAAGAAATTAGGAACTTTTATATCCTTATAAAGTGGTTATAAAACCTGTCCCAGCATTAGGTCACTATTTAACTGCTCTCCAATCGAATGCTGTGATTTTTATAAAGAACGATATATCTTAATAATTTTGGTTTTCACAATTTTTTACTTTATCTGTGATTAAATACACTTCATTTAGGGAATTTGAAAAATACGGAAAACTAAAGTAGGTGTTTTGGTTGGCACTTTTCCTGTTAGAGGATTGCAGTCATGCTTTATGTACATAAGCAGCTTTGTGTCAAGATCTTTTTCCTTCACTTAAAAGCATTTCCTAGTATATTTCCTGTTGTGTCATTGGAATTAACCCCTGGTCGTTCACAAAAGGTGAATGAATTCACAGCCTCAAAAAGTTAAGGAAAGTTTATTCAAGAAGAAAGATGCCGGCATAGAAGCTGCTGGGGCAGACAACTGCACCTTTAGATTAGCATTTTCTTTTATAGGAAAGGGTAGGTAAATTTCCTTACAGCATGAGATGTGATGTAGAGACCGAGGTCATTTGATTGACATATGTTGGTTGGATAACTAGTTTCTTTCTGCACATGCTCTTACCCATAATGCATACAGACAAACCCACAGGGTGGGGGCCAAGCCTTAATGTTCATTTTATTTTAATTGTATTACAATGAGGCTAGAGTTCAAGTAACGGACAGTTTCATACACTCCATTTTTTTTCAACTTTGCTACAGTGCTCATGCTCTTTTTAATTATTTTGACATTTGAACTTATTTTTTCTATGCAGAATTTACAGCACATCTGAGACAGCAAAATATTTTACCACAATATTTCTTTAAACACCTCTAAAATGAGATTACTTAGAGAACTTACACCATTTTTTCACTAACAAAATTACCAATAATTCTTTTTTTTTTTTTTTTTTAAGATTTTATTGGGGAATTGGGAGAGGGGAACAGTGTTGGGGAATTGGGGTAAGAGGAACACACAAGTTGCTGTCCTTCAGTCTAGTTGTGGAGGACGTTGCTTCACTGGCCCATATTGGCATTATCATTGCGCTCTTCCTGGGTGAGGCAGATCAGTCGTCGACTCTTGGCAGCTCACGCCAGCTGCCAGCCATTCATGGTAGCTTATGGCAGCCCACTGCAGCCTAGCCGTCGCTGGCGACTCATGGCAGCCCAGCTCCAGGTCTAGCTGTTGTTCACCATCTTAGTTGTAGAGGGTGCAGCATCACTGGCCCTAATGTGGGATCCAAACCAGGGCCCTGCTGCTCAGAGCTGGCATCCCAAGCCAACTCTTAACCAATGCGCCACTCGGCCAGCTCCCAATAATTCTTTATTATCACTCAATTTTCAGTCATTCCTCACAATGTAATTTTTTTTAACCGTTGGTTTGTTTGAACTAAGAGTCAAGTCTGACTTGGCATCTGGTTGCCTTTGGCTGTACGTCTTTTAGTCTCTTTATGCAGTATACTCTTGCCCACATCATCCCAAAATGTCAGGCGTGGAAGTTGCATGTTACTTAACAGATTGAGTTTATGTGCAAAGGTGCTGTGAAATGACAAGTTCTCACAGCATCTACAACTCTATATCTGCCTTTGTAAGTAGTGGCTTGAGTTTTTGCTTAAACGTTTTTCTTCCATGCATTATATTGGTTATATACCAGGTGTGTAGAATGCTTAAATATAGGGTTCAAATACCCCATGTTGTTTGGCATACGTGGTACACAAAGAAGGAGGTTGCATTTTTTACGTGGGTTTGAGAAATACTGATATAAACTAGGCAAATTGAGGAATTTTCTAATATGAGTATATTGGGTATGAAGATAATACCAGAATTTTTTTTTTTTTAAAGCAACTTTAAAATTTAATTCTACATTTTCACTTGACCTCAGTCTTTATTTACTAGTTTAGAATAAAGTACTGTATTTAGTTTTTGCTTTAGTGCAAGTATGTATTAAACTGAAGTTTATAATCTATATTGATTATTAATGCCTTTCTACTGTCATTTAGGTTATTTCAGACGCGTGTCACCGAAACCCATTTGCCAGCTCAAGGTAAAATAATGCTTTCTAAAACATCTAAATTGTTGATAATTTAGTCTCTGATTTGCACTGCTTTTTTTTTTCCCCCTTAAAAAACAAATCCAACCAGTATTTATTGATTGTACTGTCGTAGGTACCAGGGAAGGCACTCTGATCATTAAGGCAGCTAAATAGTAGCCCTGGAGAGCAGGGGCTCTGTCTTAGCACTTTATAAGGGCAAACCCACGAAAAGCTTGGTGATGTCATTGTATTCTTAGAATTTAAAAAAAAAAAAAATCAAAATTGCTCCAAATGGAGAATAGTACTTACTCTGGAGGCCACCTGTTTTGAATTGAATCAAATGTGTTTAATGCAACTTTTAAAGAAATGTAGTCATTTTCTTCCTTAGAAATAAAGGTAACATTTTAGCAATAAGTGGATTCTCTTAGCCTGTTGTTTAACTCATTAGAGTTCACATTTCTTTCCAGTATTGCCTTGATCATGTTGAATTGATCAGAAAATCGTCTCTACAGTATTCCTCTACTCTAAAAAGTGTTTTAGTTACACTTTGTGACCAGTGTTGGATGTGCTGTTTTATTTCTTAATGCTACTTATTGAAAGATCAGGGTAATGTATTTGTCGTAATTTTATTTACTTTGATTTTACCCTTATTTCTCTTTCACCCCTCCCCCAATAGCTAGAACCTCAGAACCACTGCATAATGCTCCGATTTTAAACCAAATGATGACATCAAAATCAAATTCAGGAAATAACTCAGACTGCGTTTCTAAGAATCAGGTAATAATATTTGTGGAAACTGGGAATGGTATTGAATGGTCGTCCGCTGCCTTCCACTCCCATTTTGTCATCTCATTTCCTTCACCTTGTCTTTCATGACTTTAACCTTCATGTCAGCTACCTGCACCTATGGTGACATTGTGGCCTGTCATCACCTCCCACTGCTCACCCCCAGTATTGAATTTAAATAACTTACTGGCTGACCATGCCTTCCGCATTAACCTGACCTAGGCACCGCCACCACACAACATCCTCTGTGCTGCTGACCACCTCCTAATAGGCTCAGGGACCCTACGCTGGACCACAGCCACCTGGAGACTTCTGAGCACTGCTTATAAACTCAGAGCTCCAGACATTGGTGACTAACCTCAACCCAGCTCCACTATTCCAGGCAATCATGGTTCCAGCTTCCCAGTCACTCTTTATGTTTTGTGTATCTCTCGTGTTCCCCGCTTCAATCTAATGCCAAACTGTAGTGAGTTTAAACTTTTCATGCTCTTCACACTTGGGACTAGGAACGTGACTACCTATACCCTCTCCTTTAGGAGTGGGCAAAAATACTATTTCAGTGAGACAGCAGAAGCCCTCAGATGATGTCTGTCAGTTTTCTGTTGCCCCCCAATAAATGGAACTGCACCCTTCCCTGCCATTGCGGTGGGGAAAGGTGGCTTCCCACCTGAGCTTCTTTTATCCTCCTCAAGGTTTTTGCCCCATCGAGATCTCTCCTGCCTAATGGTTTGCCAGTGTGTAAAAATGCTCGCCTCTCCTCTGCTCAGCCTTGTTTGTTCCTAGCATCTTTCCCAGTACGACTACCCCTTCAAACTTGGCTGGACCTCCTTAAAGCTAAATCCAGTGGGAATGGCTCTGTTGTTAATGCACACGTGCAGGTTTTATTGAGTGACACGTTCTTAGAAGTAGAATACAGCATTCAAATTCCAACAGACTCTTGAACTCTCCTGACTTCCATCCTGTGTGCGCTCACCAGCCTTCTTGCTTCCTGTCACCCTGACTGAGCTCTTAGCCAGCAGCCAAAGGATGGGTCTCGTTTATGGTCACATTCCCAGGACCCAGCTCAGGACATGACATGTATGAGGTGTTCAGCAAATACTTGTGCAGTGAATAAATGCTAGCATTGTGAGTTCCTGGGGGTAGAAAGTGCCAGAAGAAAATCTTAATGATTATTTTAAATGTGGCGTTTTAGAATGTCAATCCCATAATACTTAGGCACTGTGGCCCCGCCAAAGACTATGGATCAAAGGGAAATAAGTGCCCTTCTCTACTACCAAGGAGACAATTTTAAGTCACTTTCTTTATTGGACTCTTTAGCAGAAGCTATTGTAAGATTAATAATGCAAACTAAAGCTTCAGATATAATTTAAAAGAACATATAAATCTATTCGATGGTGAAGAGCCCTTCCAGCACTTTCATATTGTCTTGTGAAGTAATTTGAGTGACCATTTCTTTTCAGGTAAGTGATTGCTTACACTTCTTTCTTTTGTCTTTTTAGGGTTCAGAAGTTTCTGGAGTAGCATCTTCAACTTGTGTCAAAGAGCCGAATATGCAAGTACAGTGAGTGCATTGATCAATTCCTTAGCTTCTGTCAAGAGCTGCATTTGTATGGCGTTGTAAATAATGTATTCTTCCCATTGTAGGGAACAGCGGGTGATCATGATTTCTAAGTCGGGATACTCTGCACAGCCCTCTCTGGCAGCCAGAGCTGATGTTCAGCAGGTTGTTATGTACTGCAAGGAGAAGCTCATTCGTGGAGACTCAGAATTCTCCTTTGAAGAGCTGAGAGCCCAGAAGTACAATCAACGGAGAAAGCATGAGCAGTGGGGTATTGCAGTCATCTTATTTGAGTTATTTTACTTTATTTTTTTTTTTTTATTGGGGAATTGGGGAAGAGTTGTTGTCCTTCAGTCTTAGCTGTGGAGGGCGCAGCTAGCTCAGCTCCAAGTCCAGTCACCATCTGTCCGCCTGTTGGCAGCTCACGCCACTCAGCTCAAGGTGCCGTGTTCAATCTTAGTTGCAGGTGGGCGTAGCCCACTATTCCATGCAGGAGTCAAACTGGCAACATTGTTGTTAGGAGCACGTGCTCTCATCAGCTGAGCCATCCTGCCATTTATTGGCAGCTCAGCCACAGCTCAACTTGGGCGCCGCTCACTGGCCCATATGGGAATTGAACTGGTGACTCTGTTGCTCAGAGCTCACGCTCCCAACCAACTGAGCCACTCAGCCAGCTCCTTGAGTTATTCTTACGTTGCTAAAATAATCGTCATTCCTGAGTGATTAAGATTTTTAAGCAGATAGTTGCCAGTGCTGAAAGAGTCTGCTGAAAAGTGTTGAGCTCATCCTATAAGAAGTCTAGACATCCCTTGTTCAGTGCTGGTGTAGCAGTCTTTTTGTCTAAGGGCTTAGGGACGAAACAGCCCTGGTAGATACCCACACCAGTGCTGCCTTAGCTTTAGTGATTAGGTATTTTAAAACGTTTAAACACTTCTCATGTGGATTTGAACTTCTGTATACAGCAACTCTATATCACTGGGCCAGTTATTTGTACTATGGACGAATTCAGTTAGGAACTGGAGTTGAGATTTTCTAAGATCTGCAACTACTATAGGTAAGACATTTAGGAGGAATCTCTGACCCAGTGCCATGTCATTTATGGCTATCGAGTGGGTCAAAACTTCCTCACAGGGAAAACTGTGAATATTATTAAAACCAACGTTTGCACTTCCTTTGCCATTACAGTGTTGACCTCACGAAAATGAGCCTTTGTCCCACTGAGGACTTAACACCATCTCAATTATTTGTACTATAGCCATTCTGTCGGCCTCTCATTTTTGTTTCTTATTGCTCATTCAGTCAATACCTGAGGGAACCATCAGCTCACATTTTGTGCTGTGCACAGATCCACTTTTCTTACACACGCTGGATCGAAAATCTTAGCTAGGCGATTTGATTTGTATGTGACATGACTATGTTAACTAGACATTGGAAGTGGGACTGCTTGCAATGTACTTGACATACTGATCTTTCAGTAAAAGATCAGTATGACATAAGCACTTTACTTATATTTCTTCTTAGAAAGCACCTAAAGATTTATATCTTTTAAAAGCTGTTCCATTTTCAAATGATTTCCATAGTCATGTTTGTTTTAGAAGACGTGTTTAGTATCCTACTATTATCAATTATTATTCTTGATCAACATGTACATTTTTGTAACTTACATGCCCTGAACTTAAAAGTAACCATGCCAAGAGCAGGTAAAAATTATAATTAAAAGGTGAATTCTAACAAACATTCACAGAATAATTAATACCAATCTTCTCAAACTCTTCCAAAAAATGGAAAAGGAGGGAGCACTTTTAAACTTGTATGATGAGGCCAGTATTACTCTGATACCAAAACCAGACAAGGACACCATAAGAAAAAAAATCACCGGCCAGTGTCCCTGATGAAAATAGATACAAATATCCTCAACAGAATATTAGCAAACTGAATTCAATGGTACATTAAAAGATCATGCACCAATGATCAATGGGAATTAATCCAGCAATGCAGGGATGGTTCAACATCTGCAAATCAGTCAACGTGATACATCATTTAAAAAAATGGATAAAAATCATAGATTCAGAAAAATCATTTCACAAAATTCAACATTTATGATAAAAACTCTCAAAGTGGGTATAAGGGAACTGTACCTCATAATAAAGACCATATATGACAAACCCACAGCTACCATCATACTCTGGTGAGAAGCTAAAAGCTTTTCCTTTAGGATCAGGAACAAGATAAAGATACCCATTCTTATTAAACATAGTATTGAAGTACTAGCCAGAGCAATTAGACAGGAAATAGAAATAAAAGGCATCCAGATTGGAAAGGAAGAAGTAAAACACTATTTGCAGATGACCTGATGTGTATATAGAAAAACCACCAAAAAAGTGTTAGAATTAAAATCAGTAAAGTTGCAACATACAAAATCAATCTACAAAACACTGCAAAATGAAAATACTCAAAAAGATGCATGCACCCCCATATTCATTGCAGCATTATTAATATCCAAGATAAGGAAACAACCTAAGTGTCCATCAATGGAAGAATGGATAAAGAAATTGTGATTGTTATACACACCGTGGAATATTATTCAGCCATGAAGAAGAATGCCATTTTGACAATATGGATGGACCTTGAGGGCACTATGCTAAGTGAAATCAGTCAGAGAAAGACAAATACTGTATGATCTCACTTACATGTGGAATTTTTTTTTTAAATGTCATAGATAAAACAGATTGGTGTGAGGGGTGGGTGAAATGGGTAAAGGTGGAAGAGCATAAACTAACAGTTACAAAAGAAATAAATCATGGGGACATAATGTACAGCATGGTGACTAGTTAGTGTATATTTGCAAGTTGCTAAGAGGAGATCTTGAAAGTCCTAATCACAAGGAAAAACTTTTTGTAACCATGTATGGTGACATGTTACCTACAGTTATTGTGACCATTTCACAATATATATAAATATAGAATCATGTACTTCTGAAACTAATATGTGGATTATACTTTAAGTAGGTAGCAAAGTAAAAGTAATACATATTTCAGTTCTGATAACCTAATACATATGGAAAAGACTAGTAAGAAATTTGCAGTTCTATGGCCTGAATTTAAACTTAGCATGCAAACCATTTTTTACCTTCCCTAAAGTAAACGAAGACAGACATTATATGAAAAGGAAAGAAGCAAATGCTTTTGAAGAACAGCTACTGAAAGAGAAAATGGATGAACTTCATAAGAGGTTGCACCAAGTGACGGAGCCGTCCCAGGAGAGCCTGCCTGCTTCCCAGCACAGTCCTGAGGTGTGTGCTCATTGCTGGCTTCCTGTGCCTCTGGCTCCCTTCTCTTTGCTCCTTTCTGTGCCCTAATTTTAGCATTAATTCGATTCTGATGTTCCGTGTGTATGTACATGTTTATTTATGTTTCTATTAGGTTGTTTTTTCTTTTGGATTTCCTTTTTGCATGATTTATTTTCCCTGGATACTTCCAAGAAATTGTTAAAACAATTGTCTCATTTTCTTCTGCTGTATTTCCTTGGTACTTACCAGTTAAATATTCCCACATTCTCTGAAGAAACTGAAGGTTTCCTTTCATCATTTCAGATGCATCAGATATGCTCTTAGTTTCACCTTTCTTGGCCACATGCCCCCCCATAGCCTTCTGTCTCTGTCCACCAGGTTGGTTGGACAGCTGACCTCACCTTGGCCCTCTGCTGTGGTGTGTCCCTGCTCGTTTTCTCATTCCCTTGTCGCCATTGCTCTGTAACGTCCCAGTTTGGCTGGTGCACAGTCTCCGAGAGCGTTTTTATAGAAAAGTATCTGTGAGGGTTAATTTCCTGAGATCTCTTGCACACCTGAAAGCATTCTGTCCTGACACGTCAGTGATCATTGGCTGGTCTTTGCATCTGGGAGGGAAGTCAGAAGGCTCTGCACCCAGCTATGGCTCCGCGTCTGTGTAGGGAAACCCGGGTCATTCTGATTCCCGGCTCACAACATGCCGTCTGCTCTTTGGCAGCCTGCTGTGTCACATCTCTCTAGTGTTGTGACCTGGTGGTGTGCTTTCCAGCTACACTTGCCACCCATTAGGTTCAATGCTTGAACATTCTGGACCTGCACTTTGGTGGAATTTTCTTCATTTTTTAAAATATTTCTTCCCCATATACATTTTCTTGTTTGTTGTAATCATACTTGATAGTGGCGATGCCAGATTGATCCTCTAATTTTCTTCACTTTTTCCTCCTATTTTCTACCTTTGTGCTTCTCCCCCCACCAACCCCCACCACCACCACCACCACCAACTTTCTGTGAGATTTACTTTATGGTCCTCTTATTAAATTCTTTTCTTTCCAATGACATTTTTAGGATCAGATAGCTTTTTTACTATAAACGTTTATTTTCATTTCTGCCTAGTCTTATGTGAATGTAGTATTCTACCTCTCGTTTGTTTTGTTTTTGTCTTTGTCCTCATTGAAAGCTGATCACCCTGTCCTATCTGGTGACCTTCACTGTCCATTCATCCAAAAGCCTGCAGAGGCTGACTGCACGTCCTAGGTGCCTTGGGGCCTTTGTTAGCTGGGCAGCTTCACTGGGCGGCGTCTGTTTGATTTGAGAGTGTACACCCGGGTTGCTGGCTTGGGAGCCAAGCAAAGGGCCGAGAGGTCCTGCCCTTTTCAGAAAGCAGGCCACTCAGTCCTCGTCTCTGTCACCACCACCGTCCGCCCAGGCCCAGCGTCCTTTTGATTCAGTTTGTCCAGTAAGGAAACCCAGTCTGCTGCCAGGTGGGACATATACCTGAAAGAATGGTCCTTAGGATCTGTGGTGTAAACAGACTCACTACTGCCACGTACCTGTCCTCGCCCCACCTTTACTTCCATTCTGACATGTCTAAATTTCTGACCTCCAGAGGTCAGCCTCCACCTGCTGTTTTATATGCTAGGATTCCTTTACTGTCATGCTGGTGAGGTTTGGTTTCGGGAGGGTGTAGATAATAAAACACATGTTTAAGCTACTGTTTTTAACCAGAATCCGCCCTTCGTGGAGCTTATTTTTGTGTTTTCGGTGGCATGAGGATATGTTTTCCAAATGGATTGCCGATTTCCCCTAAATCATTTATTGACCAGCTCAGCCTTTCCCCGTTCATTTAAAATATCTGTATTAGGTACTAAAGTTTTTCTAAACAAGAGCCTTTCTAAAATATCTGTACCTTTGTTTGGGCAATAGTTTTCTTCTTGAGCATTCTATTGGGTTGTCGGTAAAGTTATGACACATGTTTGCAACAGATGGCGCTAGTTCATTTTTGGAAGTACTAGAGTCATTCGCATCTGTGTTATTGCTATGTCATTTGACAGCTGACAGTTCTATTCATTCTAAAAGAAATTAAACGCTTTGGTTCAGTTTTGGAGATTTTACAAGTTGAAGATGGAAGACCAAACTGCATTTTTGCCATATTTTACTGTTTTACTTCCATAAAGGGAAGAACGCGCATCAAGCTTGTGAAAAGTTGCATAAAGTTTATGGTGACAATGCTCTACAAAACGTCAGTGCCAACGATGGTTCACGAAATTCCATGCTGGTGATTTTGATCTCAGCGATGCTCGTCGGTCAGAGAGGTCCACCGAAGTTGATGACAACAAAAGAAAGGCATTGATCGAGTCAAACCCACGTTACACAACACGAGAGGTTGCAGAAACATTGAACATCCATTACTCAAGCATTCACGACCACCTGAAGAAGCTGGGATATGTAAGCAAGCTTGATATTTGGGTTCCTCATGAACTCAAAGAAGTGCATTTGACAGTGCATATAAACATCTGCGATATGCTCATTAAACATGAGGAAAATGATCCTTTTTTGAAGAGATTGATATAACTGGTGATGAGAAGTGGATTGTTGTTTACAACAGTGTGGTGCACAAACGGTCTTGGTCCCGACGTGATGATTCGCCTCAAACGACATCGAAAGCAGACATACTTCAGAGGAAGGTTAGGCTCTCAGTGTGGTGGAATTTTAAAGGTGTGTTTTTTGAGCTCCTACCAAGAAACCAAACAATCAATTCGAATGTGTATTGTCGCCAGTTGGACAGTTTGAACGAATCCATCATCCAGAAACGTCCAGAGCGCGTTAATCGTAAAGGAGTTGTGTTCCATCACGACAACGTGAGACCACATACAAGTTTGATCACCCATCAAAAATTATTGGAGCTTGGATGGGATGTGTTGCCACACCTAACCATACTCACCTGACCTTGCACCGTCAGACTTCCACTTGTTTCGCTGTCTTCAAAGCTCTTTGTGTGCTATAACGTTCAATTCAGATGAGGCTATAAATCAGCACCTAGTTCAGTTTTTCGCCGATAAAGACAGGTCCTATGAATGAAGAATTATGAAGTTCACTGAAAGATGGCAAAAGGTTATCGAACAAAACGGGCAATATATCATTGATTGATCTTTGTTCTTTATATAAATAAATGACCTTTGAAAAACAGAAAAAATAGGTCATGACTTTTCCGACAATCCTATATGTTGTGTACTTACTACAACGTTGTTTATTTTGATACCTGATAAAATCTGATTTTTTTTGAAAATATTTCTTCAGAATTGAATATTATAATTATTTTGAATCTTTACTTATTTGGTAGGTCATTTTTAACTACTTTTTTGAAGACTAGTGAGTATGAATTCTTTTTTAATTACAGTTGACACTCAATATTATATTAGTTTCACATGTACAGCATAGTGGTTACACATTTATATAACTTACAGAAGTAATCTCCTGATAAGTCTTGCCACCCACCCGGCATCATATGTAGTTATTATAATATTACTGACTGTATTCCCTATTCTGTACTTTACATCCCTGTGACTATTTTGTAACAACCAATTTGTACTTCTGAATCCTTTCCCAATCCCCCAACTCCCCTCCCATCTGACAACCATCAGTTTGTTCTCAGTATCTGTGAGTTTATTTGTTTTGTTTGTTCGTTTATTTTGTTTTTTAGATTCCAAATGAAATCATGTGGTATTTATCTTTCTCTGTTTGGCTTATTTTACCTAGCAATTATTAATAGGCATGTAGTTATTGCCATTTTATTAATTGTTTTCTGACTGTTTTTGTAGTTCTTAGTTCCTTTCTTGCTCTATTTTCTTGTATGTTGATGACTTTCCATAGTGCTGTGTGTGGATTCCTTTCTCTATATTTCTTAGCTATCTCTTGTAGATTTTTGGTTTGTGGTTACCATGTGCTTTACATATAATAAGCTATGTTTATAGCAGTCTATTTTCAGTTGATGTTTTCATAAGTTCGAATACATTCCAGAATCACTATCATTTTTACTCACCACCTCCATGTTTATGTTTGTATTATATTATATTTTTACGTCTTGTGTATGTGTATCCCTTAATTACTGTTGTAATTACACATGATCTTCCTGCTTCTGCCTTTTAACCCTTGTTTTAGCTTTAGTGTTGATTGATCCAGTGCTTTTATGTATTTGTCTTTGTTAGTGAGAAATTTTTCTTTGTGATATTTTCTTTCTCATATTTTAAACTTTCTTCTTCTTAAAGAAGTCCCTCTAACGTTCCTTGTAATTCTGGTTTGGTGATGATGAACTCCTTTAGCTTCTTGTTTGGGAAGCTCCTTATCTGTCCTTTGATCCTAAATGGTAGCTTTGCTGGGTAAAGTAATCTTGGTAGTAGGTCCTTGCTTTTCATCATGTTGAATATTTTCTGCCAATCCCTTCTAGCCTGCCGTTTCTGTAGAAAAATTAGTAGATAGTTGTATGGGAGCTCCCTCTTAGGTAACTAACTGCCTTTCTCTTGATGCGTTTAGGATTCTCTCCTTGTCTTTAACCTTTGACATTTTATTTTTAATTTTTATTTTTTTAAAGATTTTATTGGGGAATTGGGGGGGGAACAGTGCTGGGGAATCAGGGAAGGGGAACAGACAAGTTGCTGTCCTTTTGTTCTTCAGTCTGGTTGTGGAAGACATCGCTTCACTGGCCCATGATGGCGCCATCATTGTGCTCTTCCTAGGTGAGGTAGTTGCTCGCCTGCCATTGGACGGCCGCTCATGGCAGCTCAGGAAAGCGCACGCCAGCTGCCGGCCAGCCCCACTGCAGCCTACGCTGTCACTGGTGACTCACGGCAGCCCTGCTCCAGGTCTAGCTGTTGTTCACCATCTTAGCTGGAGAGGGCGCAGCATCACTGGCCCTCATGTGGGATCCGAACTGGGGCCCTGCTGCTCAGAGCTGGCGCCCCAAGCCAACTCCTAACCTACGCGCGACTCGGCCGGCCCCAAACCTTTGACATTTTAATAATAATGTGTCTTGGTGTGGGCCTCTTTGGGTCCATCTTGTTTATGTCTCTGTGCTTTCCGGGCTCATATGTCTGTATCTTTCACCAGGTTAGGGAAGTTTTTTGTTACTATTTCTTCAAATTGGTTTTCAATTTCTTCCTCGCTCCTGTTGGTACCATATGATGAGAATGTTGTTACGCTTGATGTTGTCCGAGAGGCCCCATAAACTCTCCTCATTGTTTTCATTCATTTTTGCTGTTCCATTTGGGTGTTTTCTATGACTTTATTTTCTAAATTGCTGATTTGATCCTCTGCTTCATCTAATCTAATGTTGATTCCCTCTAATGTATTCTTCATTTCAGTTATTGTATTCTTCATTTCTGACTGGTTCTTTTAATGTTTTCTGTCTCCATTTTTATGTTTCCTATCACTTTGTTGAAGTTCTCCCTGAGATCATTGAGCATCCTTATAACCAGTATTTGGAACTCTTATCTGGTAGATTGCTTGTCTCCATTTTGTTTAGTTCTGTTTCTGGCGTTTTCTCCTGTACTCTCATTTGATACATGTTTCTTTGTCTCTCCATTTTTGCTGCCTCCCTGTGTTTGCTTCTGTGTATTAGGTAGGGCTGCGATGTCTCTTGTCTTAGTAGAGTGGCCTTATGTAGTAGGTGTGCAGTGGGGCCCAGTGGTGCAGTCTCACTGGTCACCTGAACCGGGTACTCCAGGGTGTCCCTTGTGTGGGCCATGTGTGCCTCCCTGTTGTAGTTGAGCCTTGATTGCTGTTGGCACCTCAGTGGGTAGAATTGACTCTCAGGCTGACTGTGAGGACTGGCTGTGACTACAGCAGATAAGCCCTTGTGTGGGGGGCTGACTGCATGGAGGAGGATTTGCTTTAGCCGGGCTCTGGTGCCTGCCAGTCCACCCTTTGGATGTGTCATTTGTCGTGCTAATTGGGTGGTGCTCTGCTGTGGTCTGAAGCCAGGCACCAGCTGTGTTGGTTTTGGGACCTCTTAGGAGGGGTTCCAGTGCAGGCTAAAGTCAGCTGCTGCCTGTGCCTAGCCCGGGGCTACCTGCTGGAGGCTACAAAGTGATCTGCAGTAAGTAGTTGCTTGTGCTGGGCTTGGAGGTGCCTGGGAGAGGCTATGCTGTGAACCAAGGCTGGCTGCCACTGCTTATTTGGGGTTTGTGGACCTTTGAGAGATTTTAGGGAAGTCCGCAAGCTGGCAGAGGCTGATGCTTGTGAGGAACAGCCCCTGAAAGAGTCGGGTGGGCCAGGATCTCAGAGAATCACCAGGGTGGGGCAAGAGCTGTGTTAGCCAGATTAATGGAGACTCAGATTTGGTGCCCACCTGCGCCTTCCAGCTGTGCTGAGGAAGGGCTCCACAGAGGAACAATGGCACCTTTTGGCACTTTAGACCCTAAGAGAGCTGCCCCTCCAGTCCTCACCCTGAGCCAGACAATTCAGTTTCTCCCCGAATGTCCCTGGTGCTTTTAGAGCTGCTGTCCCTTCACTGGAGCTCAGGGCAAGTCTTTGTGAGTGATTGAATCTGTGCGCAGAACCTTTAAGAGAATGCATAGATCTCTAGCCGCCCTCCAGCTCACCGGGACTGATCCCTGATGATTTTTACAGCCAGGCATTTTGGGGTCCCTTTTCCCAGCATGGTGGTCCAGGCTGGGGAATCCTTGCTCCTCAGTGGGGGGCCTCCGCAGCCGAAGTATCCCTCCTGATCTTTAATGGTCACACACTGGTGTGGGACCAGCCCATTCAGCATCTCTGCCCCTCCTACCAGTCTCAATGTGGCTTCTTCTGTATGTCCTTAGTTATAGGACTTCTGTTCAGCTAGACTTCAGACAATTCTCAATGATGGTTATTCTGTAATTGTAATTTTGATGTGGTCGTGGGAGGGGCAAGCACAGCATCCACCTACTCTGCCATCTTGACTGGAAACCATGAGTAGGAACTTTTTATATTTTGCCCATTTGTGAAAAAACTATTTTTGCCCTAGATATTTGGTGCTTTTCTTAACAACTTGTGAGAATACTTTTATATGGTGAGGAATTCACTCTTCTTTTAACTTGGTAACATAAGCGTGTACAGTTATAGTCTAAGTACAATGAATAGAAAAGCAAAGATTGTAAGTGTAGAGCTTGTTATCCTTCCTGTGTGAGCCATGCTTGTATGGAAGTTATAATTGCAGCTTATACTCACCTTTCCTAGTCAATGGAGAGAAAACAGCTACCCAGGGCCAGGGTATTTTAACAGGAGGAACATCGTTGTGAGCATTTCATAACATTGACTCGTTGGTTTTTTCCCAAAACTAAGTGAAGAGAAATAAGATAGTTCTCAAAGACTGATAAAACTGTAGGGGGTGTTTCAGTGGTCAGAGGCATGAGCTGCTAGTGTGTCTGGTTTAGTGCAAAGCCCCCCTTGTGGAGAGTAGTCATTTTGTTGTTGTCGACGGTTCATTTATGAATAGCTGCAGGGGAAAGGGACCCAATGAAGGAGATGCCGGTGTAATGCCTAGTACTGGAAAGCTGTACTACCCTATTACCAATATTCTGGACTTCATGGCTTTGCTTTTGTTTGTTTATTCAACACAAAAGGTTCATCCAGCGTGCATGGGGCCAAGTGTCAGCTCCCAGCAGGAACTGAATGCCCCATCCCTTCCAGCTGCCACTCAGCACACCTCAGGGTACCTGAGAGAGAGGCTCAGAGAGGCACCTCCTGAGGCAAATGCTGTCACTGTCGCTTTGGTGTCCCCAGCCATCAGCCAGAGTGTCGCTCCTCCTGTTCCATTGACAGCCCAACCAGTGACAGACTCCATGTTTGCGGTGGCCGGAGAAGATGCCAGGTGAGCCGAAGCTGCTGCTGGAGCAGGCGGCGGTGTGAGGGCGTCTGCCAGCTCCGCACTATGTGCAGCATCAGGAGCAGATGTGACCCAGCCAGGCCCCCACAACAGTAGCCCCAGTCTTGTGGGCTTACTTATTTCAGGCTTCTTTTAGCGGTTCTCAGCCTGTGGGTCGCGAACCCTTTGGGGGTCGAATGACCCTTTCACATGGGTCGTCTAAGACCATCGGAAAACAAAAAGATATTTACATTACGATTCATAACAGTAGCAAAATTACAGTTATAGGGTAGCAATGAAAGTAATTTTATGGTTGGGGGTCACCACAACATGAAGAACTGTATTGAGGGGTCGCGGCATTAGGAAGGTTGAGAACCGCTGTAAATTTAGAGTATTTATTTTACTTCGTGCTTCTCTTTGGAGTTAAAATTTCTCAGTATGCTGAAATGCAACTATCGTTTTAACTGAAGGATATACAGCTGTTATACTGTATATCCTTCTGGCTTTTGCCTGCTGGCTTTGATGGAGTACCCATAGGGACCGTTACGGTCCAGACGGTTCCTTGCCACATGTCCTCATCCTCCCTTTGTCTTCCCAGCAGGAGTGGTTTGAGAGTGACTTCCGTTACGCAATATGTCAGCCTCCATCTGCACGCTCCTGGGAGGTTTCCCCAGTTGGGAGGGGTTTTCCTAGAGTTCTGAAATTAGTGTCACACCATTTGTTTTGTATAAATTTTTATCTTCAGTCTCTCTCTGTCTCTCTCTCTGTCTCTCTCTGTCTCTCTCTCTCTCTCTCTCTCTCTCTCTCTCAAGATATAACAATTTTATTGATCCATTAGAAAAAGTAAAAGCTACAGTGTAGCTCGCACCCTCCCTTTGGGTTAAGCCCCTGAGCACACAGATTATGGTTCTTAAGTGTTGGTTCCCCTCAGTGCCCAAGTTAGCTTTGATCACTGATTTCTGCTGGAAATGAGACTTAAATCATCGTGTTCTTTCACTCACATTAAGATAACTGTGTCCTGGAGCTGGTATCGCACCCTGTGTGTACGAAGAGGGCTTGTGTGGGAGCCATGGCTCTATTAGCTCTTCATATTAGGTTGTCGGAAAAGTCATGACACGTTTTTGCAATGAAAAACATAGAAAAAATACATCATGACTTTTCTGACAGCCCAATAGTTCATTTATGCAGTGGTCATGGTAAGAGCGGCAGCAGCGACAGCCCCGTGGAAGTGATGTATTGCCAGCCCCCCCTGCAGAGATAGAGTGGTGAGGCTGTGAGAGCCTGAGACAGCTGTCCCTTACACAATTGTGACACTCTTTCACCTAATAAACATTTAGGTCTCTGTCAGAAGCATGTCAGATTGACTCTGACCCTGGCCCAGGCAAGGGACTGAATAGACCCCCATGGCATTCTCAGCAGCCTGGACAGCTGACTGTGGCAGAGGAAGGGCCCCTTTCTCTGAAATCTCATATAAAAACTTATGTTTTTAATGACAGTTTAGTGGGGATTTGTAAAATTTAAAGTGCTTTGCAGTTTCTCCTTTACCAGGGTCCACTAAGAGAATTCTAGCAAATTTAAGTAGACAGGGTCCACTGTTACAACTGTGCTTAAAACAAACTGATGTAAATGTCTTCTGTGTCATGTTTTCCTATCTTGATAACTGGAAGTCTGGGGAACAGTGCCCTGTGCCTGCTGGCTCGCCATAGTGGGGGCCGTGCAGACAGAGCATGGTGGTGTTTCCCTCACTGTGACCGGAGAGCTACATGCTGGCCCTTAAGGCATAAGATAAATAGGGGCGTTTGAATTAGGGAGCCGCTATGCCACCCTACCCCATAAAGGCACGACTAGTATGCTGTTAAAATACACAACCACCGTGTCAAGCGAACGTTAGCACCTGGCCTGTGTCTGTATGAATTCTTTTCCTCAAAAGGAAATGAAAGAAAAGATGAAACATTTTATTTACTTACACTACAAACCTAAAGCAGTTCCATCTTTATTGTAACAACAGGCTTGTGATTGCTGACATTTTTTTACTGTTCTTTCTTGAGAGTTAGTGTCTTAAGATTTTTTTCTTCCAGGTGTGTGATTCAAACTACTCATGAATTCAAGCCACAGAGTGGGGCCGACATGAAAGAAGGTAATGTGTTGTTACTGTACGTGTGTTCTGACCGTTAGCCAGACTCCCCAGGTCGTCCCGAGGTCTGTGGTTCATGAAAGTTTCAGGCCTCGAAGAAGCTGGCTGTCAGCTTTCTTATTCTGAATGCAGGGGTTAGAGGACCATTTCCAGCTCAGGAAGAAATCTACTTGTTAGTCACATCTTATTAGCTAGAATCTTTGGGAAACTTGCTATATGAAAACTTTTCCGTTAAATTTCTCAGCAGGTTTATCTAAAACAAGAGTCATCTTTAATACATCGTGAGGTGGTTAAAAGTTTAATTAGAAGATGTCTAACACTGTTGGACTAATGACTCTGTTGGAGTCATTTACATTGAAGGAAAGTTTTATAAACAAACAGATTGGATATCCCCCACCTCTGCCACTTGACTGTAACATCCTTTCCAGTGACAGTTCAGTGGGCGCAGAGCTACTCGAAATAGCTGGAGACCCCTGCATTGAACCCAGACTTCCTGAGCACTGGCTGGGTGCATGGAGTTAGGGGTGCAGTCATCAACAGAAAGGACAAAACCCACCTGCGTGGAGGTGGGGTTGGGGGTGTCGAGACTGCAGAGGTGACAGGGGAAGGCTCCACCAAGAAAGTGATATTGGGTCAAGGCCTGCAAAGGGGGGCTGCCCATGCGGCCAGCTTGGAAGGCCTGCTCCAGCCCCGTGCAGAGCCCCCAGGTGGGAATGGCCCTGGTGTGTCTGAGCACGACTGAAGCTGAGGGGGGCGGCAGGGAGAAGGAGGTGTGGTCTGGGCTGGCCGGGCCCAGGTAAGCAGGGCCTGTGGCATCATCGCCTGGACTCCAGCTGAGGGAGCCAGAAGGCCAGTCTGAACCTTTACAATGGGACTGTAGGGACTGTCACCGTGTATTTCTTGGGATATAATGGAGCTGAGGGTCATTTATTACAAGGCTGCTAGTTTGGTAGGATTTTAGACCAAACCACTTACTCTCTTTAAGCTTCCATTTCCTTTTCTGTAAAAGGGTAATTCTTGCCTTACTTGCCTCACATGACTATTCTAAAGATAAAAATGAAAGATATGAAAGCATTATAATGGAAGTCCTTGGTGGTGATTATCAACAATAAGTGTATTAATGTAATAAGTTTCTTATATTGTGTATCTTTTAAATTCTTCTGATTTCCCTACTGATACTGTATTTTGTCCTCATTTCTTTAATAGGGTGTGAAACACATAAGGTTGTTAACACAAGTTCTTTGCACACAACACCAAACACGTCACTGAGAATGGTCCAGGCAACGCCATCCACAGTGCAGCCGTCGCCCACCGTGCACACAAAAGAAGCGTTAGGTAACGCCTAATTAGGTGTAGCCTCTGATAACACATTCATGAAAGGTCTTTTGCAGCCCTGTTTACAGTTATTTTTTTCTGCTGTTTTAAGGTTTCATCATGAATATGTTCCAGGTTCCTACACTTCCTGACATTTCTAATGACAAAGATGAATGGCCATCTCTAGATCAAAATGAAGATGCGTTTGAAGCCCAGTTTCAAAGTAATAACAATTTGTTTGAAAGCTACCAGTTGCAAGGCATTGTGGGGGGTTGCCACAGGAAATAGGATTATACAAGAAGTGGCCTGCCCTTGATGGGCTTGCAACACAAGGGCAGGAAATGCAGGAAATAGCAAATCCGAGAATAGTTGACAAGGTTCTTGATGTGTGTCACAGATCTGTCTTGTTTCTTAGAAAATAAGTCAGTGCTAAAGAAACACAAGGTCCCCATGGGTAGGACCGGCCAGGAAGGGCTGAGTACTCGAGGTCTGACCTGAGCCTTGCCGTGTAGAAGAATGGCAGGGGCAGAGTGCTGGAGGCCGGCGACTAGCCCGCGTTAGTCTAGAGTCAGGATCCCTGTGGGAAGCCAGAGACAGATCATGATAAAGCTAAACAGGATCCAGTTAGACTCGGAAGGACGTGAACTATAAAGCTAAAAGGTTAAACGTTCCTTCTACAAAATGGAAAACAAAGCCACTAGAGCTTTGTTTGGTGAGTCAAAGCCACTAGACCTTTGTTTGGTGAGTCAGGGGACAATAGCAATGTTTTAGGAGAATGCTGAGAACCGTGCTTTACACGGAGCGGAAGTCAAGACCTGGAGGCTTGAGCGCAAAGCACTGTGACTATGGTTATTATGTCACTCCCTCTCAGGCAAGGTGACTTAGCTTATTCCCTAGTGTTTGAAAAGCTGATCTCTCTTTTTCCCTATAAGCTGTTATGCTACTTCCTTATTTATAGTTGAAGTTTAGCATTAAAGATAATTTTTTTCCAATGCAATAATTAAATGCTATTTTTTCTCTATTGCAGAAAACGCAAGCTCTTCTGGGGTTTGGGGAGTCAATAAGGTTATCTCTTCTTTGTCATCTGCTTTTTCTGTGTTTGAAGATGGGAACAAAGAAAATTATGGGTAAAGAAATAACCTGGTTCAAATCATGTTGGGGGAGATACCTGTGGTCACGGTGATGTGGGATGCTGCACAGGTTGCTCTGGGACACAAGGCATTGAGGCGGCAGGAGAGTGGCCTGCTGATCAGGTGGTCTGACTTCCATTCCCAGCCCTGCCGCTGATGAGCCTTTGGCCGTGTGGCCAGGAGACTGTTGCTAAGGTCTTTTCCAGACCTGCAGTGCATGCTGGGGCCACAGGAAGGCAGGCCTCCATAGCTACAATGTGTGGTACAAGGAAAGGAGGGGGAGGGATTCTGTGGGTTTGAACTTGTATTAGAAGTGAATGAATTCACTGGTCTAGGTACACATATGCCCTGTTTATTTTTGCGGGATCAATGAGGTAGATAAGGCTTAGTTGGGGTCATACTGCAGAGAGAGTGTTTTAAGGCTGAGGGAAATTACATTCGAGTGGGTAGCTCCAGGAATTTTCAGTATTAATTGTTCAAATCACGGAAGGAGAGTGCCATTGTGAATGACAGATGTCACAGTGTGGAAGAGATTCCCACTGAGGCACAAAGGAACCCACAGCTACTCCCATTGCTGGGGAAAAAGAACGCATGGTGTCCATGACCTTCTGTGGCCATGGCCCTAGCTCTTTGTTCCTAAAACTTGTAACTCAGTGTAGTAGAGAGCTCTGTATTTCCACCCTCCCTTTTATATACGTTGTCACGTTAATTCAGTTTTGCTACAAGTGCTGTGTGAAGGTAAGGAACATGTACGTAAATATTAACTGATGGGAAAGGATAACTGGATGATGTTCCTAACACTCCCTGAAGAGGTAGCACTTACTTCCTTGGCATATTTTACGATTTATAATTTTGCAAATCTTTCCTTAGGTTGCCACAGCCTAAAAATAAACCCACAGGAGCCAGGACCTTTGGAGAACGCTCTGTAAGCAGATTTTCTCCAAAGCCAAAGGTAGGTCAGTCTCTGCTTCCTTTTGGTTTTACCAAGTAACTGTGCAGATAAAAGAGGTGGTGTGTGTCAGAGTGTAGTGAAAAGCACAGCGTTATATGAAGAGTGTGCCATGGGGACATTCTGTCTAGTATGCACCTGGCCCTGTGATCAGTGCAGACACTAAAGGAGGAATTTTCTGTGGTTCTTGCCCTCAAAGGGCCTTCCTGCTGGACAGGAGGCCCCACGGGGTAAACGTGTTTCCTAGACCTGGCAAGTGAGGCCTGCGGTGACTGTTAGAGAGAATTAAACTGGAAGGGCTCATCGTCCGGCATCTCAGGAGACACGTGTCACTTGTTTGTTGGCCCAGTGGTTCCTCAGTGACAGCAGCTGTTGTGTCCAGCCCACACGCAGCTTCCCGCTGCCCTCTCTCCATCCCGGCCTGGCCCCTGCTGTGGTGTGTGAGTGCCACAGAAAGTCGGCTCACCCTGGGCGTGGTTTTCACCCTTTGGCGGGGTTCTTCTGAATAAATTGTCACCCAGCTCTCTTAACTCTTCTGGTGAACCTTAAAATCTCCCAAGTAATGGGCTGGATTTCAGACGCAGTGGCACCATTTCCTGGGTGCATTTTACTGAACTATCCAGCTACACATGCTCTGGCTGAGAAACTGCGATGGAGTTTCCATGTACCTGGCCCGGAGCATATGCCACTTGCTTTGTCCTGTGTCCCTTGAAACAACTGGCCAGCTCTGCCTGTAGTGTTGCAAGAGATGAGGTGGAATTGATGAAGACTGCAGGGATGGGAAAACCAGGGCTGGCATTTTATGGGCAACTGATGGGCTCTGGTCAGGTACGATTCTGACTGAGCAGTTTCTGCCTTTTTGTCCTAGACTCTCAAACTTGACCTTTGAGTTCATGGAGAAATAGTTCATGGTAGGGCTGGAGCAGGAAAGAGACAAATGAACCTAGAACGCCTTGTGGTGCCAGAGAACAAGGAAGTGCTTTGCAGGAGCTGGCCTGGACAGCCACTGGCCAGACCTGGAACAATGTGAATGAGAAAATATGTAGAATAGGGTAGCATTAGATTCTAACCCAAGAACCAAAATAAATACCCTTGCTGCTAAATATGGAGAGGAAGGACAAAACATCCTTACAGAATTCCAAGTAAGGTAGATGGAATGAATGGTAGTAGAAAGCGGCCATTGGAAATACGTAATAATAGCTGCTGCAGGCAGGACTCACGGGTGAATACTAAAATTAGCCAGCAAAACTTTAAGAAGAAACAGGATTTTGGGGGCCAGCCAAGTGACTCAGTTGGTTATGAGTAAGCTTAAGAGCGTGGGCTCTGAGCAACAGGGCCGCCAGTTCAATTCCCACACGGGCCAGTGATGCTGCGCCCAAGCTGAGCTGCCAACAGGTGGCAGGATGGCTCAGCGGATGAGAGCACGTGCTCCTAACAACAAGACTGCCTGTTCGATAGCGGGCTATCCCCACCTGCAACTAAGACTGAACTCGGCACCTTGAGCTGAGCTGCCACCCGGATGGCTCAGTGGGTAGAGCATGCGCTCTTAACAACAAAGCTGCTGGTTTGACTCCCGCATGGGATAGTGGCTATGCCCACCTGCAACTAAAATTGAACACAGCACCTTGAGTTTAGAGGCCACAAGCTGCCGATGGGATGGCAGGCGACTGGCGCCCTCCACAACTAAGATTAAAGAACAACAACTTAGCTGGTCCCCTTCCCCAATTCCCCAACACTGTTCCCCTCCCCCAATTCCCCAATTTAAAAAAAGAAAAAAGAAGCATTTTTGTATAGCCTCAAAGTATCTCACCCAAATTATTAATTACTATGGTGGCTTTAACCTTTGTTCACGAATTCTCTGATACTCCTCCGGCCAGGGGCTGGAGCTTATTAGTTCACCGTCGTCCGAGTACAGGCTGGACTTAGTGACTTGCTTGGAACACGCGGAGTAAGGATACGGGAAACTATACCTTATGGTGAAGAAGCCTGGTAGACACCTCTTTGGCCATGGGGTCAGTGAGCCTCACCAGAGAAAAGCTGTGTTCCTGTCACATGTCCTCCAATGTGACCTAATGAGGAAGGACACTTTACCCTGATATCCTTCCACAAATTCTATAGCCCCGGTCTAATCCTGGGAAAACATCAAGTAAACCTAAATTGGAGGGGCATTCTACACAGTTCCTGACCAGCATTCACAAGTGTTGGTGTGAGAAAGACTAGGAAAGACCAGTGAGCTGGCCTGGATTAGAGGAGGCTAAGGAGGTGTGACAACTAGGTGTGGCCTGGCGCCAGAACTGGATCCGGCAACAAAAGGGACGTGAGTGGGGAAATGAGGAAATCAAACACCGCCTATAGTTAACAGTATTTCACAAATGTACCAGGGTTCTATAAAGTATGAACATTAGAAGAAGAGCATATGGGAACTTTGTACTATCTTTGTAATTCCTTTGTAAATCTAGAATTTTCTAATTAAAATGAAATGTAAATATTGAAAAACAAAATTATGATCCTTGTTTGAGGCGTTACCCACTGCAGTATGAAAGAAATAAGTAGAGTCCAGTTGTGGGGAAAAGAACAGCCATGACGTCTGTGGCTGTGTGGTAGCCAGGGTTCCATCTGTTTCTTCTATAATTCCCCTTTTTTTTTTTGACTCCTAGAGGGTATTAATATGTTAAACTTCATGGATGACACAGGGAGGTGGCTGCTTTTCTTCCATTCACCTTTTGTTGCAGGAAGTACCTTATCCTGAGGAGTGTTTGGATGACTCGACTGTATGGGGCGTCCGCTGCACCAAGACCCTGGCGCCCAGTCCTACAAGCCCAAGAAACTTCACGTCTGCCGCTCGGCTTGCGTCCACACCTTTCCAGAAACTTGCGTTGGATGCAGGGCACGCTCTGGAAGACAAAGGTGTGTGTGACACTGCTTGTGTAGGGTGTGGGTTCATTTTGTGATTTACAACAAACAAAAAAGGCCAGCACGAACAGAGTAAATTATTTGAATGCTAAAAGTTGAACATTTATATTTTCTAATTTGATAAAAGTAATAACTAGCAAATTTCAGTCCTTGATATTTGTCTACAAATCTCATTACTTTGGAATCACAGCCAAGTAAGCACTAGCTCAGAAAATTATATTTTTTTTATTTTTACCGATCTGACTCCAAGAGCATCATGAGAAGACTCACAAATAAAACTTATTTCCCCGCAAACATATTTCCCCGCAAACATAACACTCCTATATCAAAGATCGTCATATAACTGAATTGAACCTGAGCATATGACATTGTCATGGAGCACAGATAATTGTTACTTATTAAGGACCAACCTACAGATGATACACGATGAGACCTAGGGCCACTTTACCATTTTGATGACTGATGATTTACTAGTCAAACTCTTATCACTGCTGGCACGTTTTTAAAAGTAGCAATTGTTTACCAAATAGTGCCAGAGAAAGGACTGCCCGAAATGGAAGCATATTTGAGCCCATAGACTTAAAAATGTTTATTTAATTAAGGAAGAGTAAAAATTTTTTCATAGAATGCTAACCCAATATGATGTATTTATCTGAATTTTAAAGGAGTGTGCCATTGAAACTTGGACAATTGCCGAGTACTATCACAAGCTTGCCACTTTAATAAAAAAAATATTTTAAGCCTTTACCTTTCGAGAAAACTAGTTTAATCAGTCCAATCTTTCAAAATAGTGAATATTGGCTGTACTTAAGAGTATTTGCCACTTAGGTTTTGTAAACAGAAACTAATGTTCTGGAACTAAAGTGTAGCCTGTTCAGGAAGGCAACGTCTGATAAAACCAAATGCAGTGTATGCGCAGTGTTATATCGCTTCAGAGATTTATTACGTATTTCTGCTGTCTGTAGTAGTTACTATTTTTAAGTTTAAAGGACATGATAAGTGTTGCCAGGGAGCTATCTGATGTAAACACTACATCATTCAGTCTACTACACACCAGCCGACTGACTGAAAGACACCTCTGCCCTCCAGAGCGTGGCAGCCTTTTACTCTCCATGTCCTTGTTGTCGGGGTCTCCCAAAGCAGGGTGTGGCCTGCCGCCCACACCAGTCGCCTTCCCTGGTCTGCTCATCCTGCCCCTCTGCGGGCCCTGTTCTCTGGAAGGATTGTATGGATTAGATGAAGCGAAGAGAAATGCTCTTTTTTTTCAGTGATTTTTTTTGCTCCCACCTTTAAAGTCTTACAGCACACTTTACCGTGAAACGCTATTTTGAAATTATAATGAAAGTCATATAAAAAGGAATTCTAGACTTGATAGCTATGTAAAATCGTTTGTACATACACATGTGTTCATAATGTCTGTCTAATTTTCTGCATATTTCAGAAAATGTGGCAGCAACACTGGATAGCCATGTGACTTTGGATTCGTGTGAAGAAAATGGGGGGCCCTCAAAAGACAGAAAGTTCAGGTATTATGTGCACGTACATAGTCCTGTCACTCCATTTTCATTCTATTAATAGCTTTCCTTTTAAGAGGTAATGGAATTCTAGCCCTTAAAGGCTAACAGAGTTTTTGTTGACTCTCAGCTTTAAGTCAGAAGGTTCTCTCATGGATAAATACAACGGTTAACCTGAACCTGAGACATGTGAGAGAATCGTGGGGTTGCAGATCCCTGTGGGTGGTTTCTGTTCTGCCTCCCTCTGCAGACACTTACCAGCCAAAGGCCCTGACATATGAAGGCTACTGTAGAACTGAGCAAACATAATTCCTTCTTTCCACCCATTATAATTGAGAAAATCAGTAACTTTCTTTTACAAGGAGGAAGATAGTGTGTTTAAGCCTCTTAGGTGCAGAAAGCAGACTTACCATACAGTAATGTTTTTGCGGACATCAAATTCCACCATATTTGAATAGTCTAGTGATTGTAATAGTTGACACTGAAAATAACTACAAGCTTTTGAGTATTTATTATACTCTAGCACGGCACCTATGCTTTTCATGTACTGTATCCTTAGATTAATCTTTTTTTTTTTTAAGATTTTATTGGGGAATTGGGGGAGGGGAACAACCAAGTTGTCCTTCAATCTTAGTTGTAGAGGGCACAGCTAGCTTAGCTCCAAGTGCAGTTGCCATCCTGCCGCCTGTCGGCAGCTCAGGGCAGGTCAGCTGAAGGTTCTGTGTCCAATCTTAGTTGCGGGTGGTCATAGCCACCATCCCATGTGGGAGTGGAACCGGCAACCTTGTTGTTAGGAGCACGTGCTCTCACCAGCTGAGCCATCCTGCCACCTGTTGGCAGCTCATCTCAGACGCAGCCCACTGGCCTATGTGGGAATCGAACTGGCAACCCTGTTGCTCAGAGCTCGTGCTCTTAACCAACTGAGCCACTCAGCCGGCCCTTGGTTAATCTTACAATAACTTTAGTTATCGGAACTATTCTTTTCCACAATTATAAGATGGGGAAACCAGGTCTAGAAGGCTAAATTAATGACCTGTAGTCATACGTCTTCTAATTGGCAGCACTGGGATTTGAACCCATATCTCTGATCTCAGACCCCTTGCTCTCACCAGTACATTGTGCTGGCTCTTGTTATCAAAAAACCCATTTTAAACTAAGACCTTGGTAAGTAAATGATTGGATAAAGGACATGAGCAGAATTTACAAAAGAAAAAATAATGACTAAACATGGAGAAAATAGTTAATTCGTGAATGATAAAATTAATGCAAATTAAGTGGCTTTTGCCTTTTAATTTAAAGTTCTGCCCAATGGGCATAGACTGTACTACCCACCAGACATCTTCCTACATGCAATAAATGTCTGACTCACAAGGCTGCCATAAGCCACACTTGGCGTAAGATTAACTTAGAAGTGTGCAGAGCGATGGTCACAGTTGCCAGCAGGGTAATCCTGCACAGGAAACAATTGTCTTTGACCCCATGGACAGTTAAGTTGCAAGGAAACTTCACCCAGGTGCAGAGGGTTCGCTGCCTAAAGCTTTATTTCCATGGGAGTCAGTGGCTCTAGAAATACTCCATAGATTGAGTTTCCAGGGTCCCCACAAGGGACAGACCCTTTATGAGACTCATGGTACCCAAAGCCTGAAGCAATGGATTCCCAGCACATATTTCTAATTCTTCCGGTCTAGATATAGTTAGTTACCAGTGAGGGTGATTTTTTTTTTACCATAAACAATGGTGACAGCTATATTCTTACCAGTTTTCAAGGGAAAAGAGCTAGAAAATTAACCAGAATATCCTCATGGAGAGGTAAAAGGGTTTTGTTAATCACTTATGCCCCACAGTTATTTGGACATGCATATGGCTCATAGCATCGTACATGATTTGCAGACAACTTTTTCTGTGTGTGTGGACACCCCTGTTTTGTAATGTAAACTACTGGAACCATTTCATATCTAAGAACCATGGGCTTGTGATATTCCAGTGTACAGCCACTGGATCAAACAGCGTGCAGTCATTAAAATCCATGCTGTTTCTGTGGAGAAACCCGCAGACAGAGCCTGACCAAATGATCAAGGTCAATGTCACAGGTGATCACGCATGGTGGTATGGGATGATCTTCTCCCCCAAACCAATTCTCACAGTCCCATCCTGAGGAAGACCTCAGAGAAACCCATTCTGAGGGGCATCCTGCAACATGCTTGGCCAGTACTCCCCAACACTGACAGGGTCTTGGGAAGCTGGACAAAACTGGGAGAGTGTCACAGATGAGAGAAGTGAGTGAGGAGACATGACCAGCGGACGCAGCATGGTGTCCAGGGTCGGGTCACGGAGCACTGGAAGTGCAGTTTGGCAAGCCGGGAGACCCACGAGCAATGTGGACCGCAGTTAATAGTATATAGCCAGTGCTGGTTTGTTGGTCTTGACAAAGGTGCCACTATAATCAAAGACAACTTTGTAGGAAATTGGGTGAGAAGTATAGGAATTCTCTCATCTTTGCATTTTAGATTTTTTTTTTAATCTAAAATCATTCCAAAATTAGTTTATTTTTTTTTAATTCACAGGAAATGTGAATTTTACTTCTGTGTCAAGAGGTAGAACTGTGATATGAAGTTGCATGTATAAATCCATCTGTATAAAAATATACTTATCCACTTGTGTATATTAGATTAAAGGTGGGGGTGTATGTGTGTGGAGCTGTGTATACAGTCCGATCTTGTTACTGCATTGGTTCTTCTCTCTAAAGTCACTGCAAACACTGAACCATTGCCCCTAGGAGCCTCTGGTCACAATGTCTTACTTAAAGACATCTTATTTAATATGTATTGTTGACTCATTGACATTGAACTCACGGCCAAGAGCGCTGTAACTCCTGCCTGAACAAAGCTCATCTAGCATGTATTTTTTCTCCCTGAGACACATCATAGCTTTCCAGCACACAGTAACTAGATAGCACTTCACCTCCACATTGGAGAATATTTTAAACAGTGAAATCGCAACCTACAGCACAAAAATGCATTAAATTAAAAAAAAAAAAAGACACCGCTAAGTAATTATTCTGCCCAAGGACACTTACAGCATGAGGAGCGTGCGTGGCCTTACCCAGCCTTTCCTGGGAACATATGCCAGGAGACTCCGATTTGTCACCGATTTGCATGTCAGCAGGCATCTACAGAAGCACCATGAGCTTTGATGTGGGGGTTACAGATACATGTTAGCATGCAAGTGAAATCATAACCATGGGGCCCATGAGTAATGAGGACCTGCTGTACAGATAGATATATGTGTGTGTGGAGTGGTATACTGGTGGTAGGCTGTTGGATGGTGGTTGATACAGCCTGTTTGTTGCAGTATTATAAATGTGTTCAGTCTTGGTGACAGTACTGATGCTCAGATGACAGGTTAGGGGAGTTGAACCCATTCCTCCCAAAACTTCCAACTAAACAATACCCAATATATCACCCACCTACTTAATACATGTATTACCACATCTGTGATTTCTTTCTGTTCGTGTTGTATTAGCTGCCTGTATTTGCATTACATCTGTTTGTCTCAAGAAAATGCTTTAGTCAACTCTTTGTGAAGCAACTTTGAAATCTCATTCCTGGAATGAAAAGGAAAATGCTGTGTGGGACTTGCTGTGATCAGACCTAGAAGGCTTGTAATCATGTGTTTGTTCCCTCCTCTCTCACCCCTTTCACACACCAGTCCCATTCAGGAGGAAGGCCCGACACCAGCGGTCCCCACCGATGCGCGTTCGGTGTCCTCGCTGCATCCTCTCCTGCCAGCTACAGGTGGCGTGTTGACCCGGGAGGCGGAGCGGGGCCTGGAGGCTTGTACACTCGCCGACACTGACCTTGCCGCCACGGGGGTCCCGGCAGACGCCAGCTCTGGGTCCCAGGAAGAACGGACGCAGACTTGTCCCCTTGGGAATGCCCATGTCCCAAGTAGGAATAATGCTCAGCCTTCTTGTCCCCTGATCAGGACAGTGGCTTGGTAAAAGCTGCTCTGTGCACAGCTCACAGAGCCGGGGCTGGAATGTCACCAAGCAGGACGGGAGCTCAGGCAGCACTTACGTGAAAGTCCTAGTGTATATACAGCAGTAGCTTCCCTGTGAGCAAGCTCACCCATTTGTGATTTTAGAGGTGCCAAGTCACCACTGTTGGAAGAGGGGATTGAGGTTGGGGGACCCACTGTGCTGGGCATTTACTATGATACCGTTGTCCCCATTTTAGAGAAAAGTAAAGAGGCTCGGGGTTGAGGGACCCCACACCCAGGCTAGTCAGAACTGGTTTTGCATTGTAGTTAAGAGCACAGCCTCTGGAGGAGACTGGCTAGGTTCTCGTCCTGGCTCCCCCTCATAGGAGGTCATTATTATCCTCTGTGGCCCTCTTTAAAGTTGAGGTGGTGTTCGTGCCTACTTTAGTCTTAACTAAGCACCAGGTGAGTTGCTAACTATGAAGTTCTCAGAACAGTATCCTCCCTGCGCTTAGCACTGAGTAAGTTCATTATGCTGGGTTAGTCCTTCATAACTGCCACCAGCTTCTGTGTTCCCATTAGAAACAATTTCTCAGTTGTGAACCCAAAGTATCTCCTACATGCACATTGCACATAGGTAGTACAAGTGTTAAGAGGCCAAGTGTTTTGTAGACTGAGTGAAAAATCATTTTAAAGATTGTATACCTGAGCACATGAATACCCAGTCTGCCTCGGACACAGGCACCCATACCTGTGCTCAAGGCAGAATCCAGCAGTGCCGGGCGCCTTTGGTGTTCCTTTATCTCAACTGAGCATTGGTCGAAATTTGTAGACCTAAAATGACAAATAACTGTGCAAAAATACCTATTTTGACTTTTGAAAACGGTTATTATTTAAATCATTGCTCTTGAAAGATGAGGCTTTTGAAAGCTTACTTAATGTCTGCCTCCACTTGCTTTATTTGTAATTTCTTGGGTACTGAGTTTACTTTGCTTCTGTTTGCATTCCTTTAAGACCTCACTATTGTGAATCCATGGGATGATGAACTGATTCTCAAACTTTTATCCGGGCTTTCTCAGCCAGTGTGCTCCCATCCAGATGCCTTTGAGTGGCCATGCAAACTTCCTGCCATCAAGCCCAAGAGCGAGTTCCAACTGGGTAAGAACTATGGTGGTAAAACTTCCAAGTCTGATTTCTCTGAGGGAAAATGGGGGTAACCGAGTACGTGTAACTGCTCCTGGCACACACACCGTGCCGCGCCCCCAGATGCATGGAGGATGGATGAGCTTCTGTCCAAAGGCCTAAGCTGAGAACGTTCTGTGAAGCTGTGACACTAGCCTTTTGATTGCTGCTGGGGCTGTAACTTACAGAGGCAAGCTGGCCACCGAGTGCCATGTAAAGTGCACATCCGCGTCTAAGACTTTCCTGCGACACCTGCACACATTCACAAGGGTGTGTGCACATAAAAGCAGGTTGGAAGCTACAGGTATCGGCGGGAACTGCTTCCATAAATGATGGGACACTGCAGTCACATGCATTCTCTGTATGCACAGGGGATGGCCTCGAAACGTGCTGTTGAGTGCAAGGGCTGTTAGTGGAAGTGGGACACAGTGGCTGTAGACATCAATGGGAGTAAGACTTCTCCCAACATGCCCCCCGACACACACACACACACACACACACACACACACACACTCTCACACACTCTCACACACTCCCCCATTATTAACATCTTGCATTAGTGTGTCCATTTGTTGAGTTGAGCCAATATTATTATATTATTACTAACTAAAGTCCACAGTTTACATCAGGGTTCACTTATGGTGTTGTACATTCTATGGGTTTGGACAAATGTATAGTGACATGTATTATTACAGTGGTCTTACAGCCCTAAAAGTGCCCTGTGCCCCACCTGTGCATTCCTTCCGCTGCCACCTGAAACCCTGGCAATCACTAATCTTTACTGCTGGCCCCATCGATGTGCTTTTTCCAGGATGTCATAGAGTTGTAATCACACAAAATGTAGCTTTTCAGATTGGCTCCTCTCATTTAGCAATATGCATTTAAGTTTCCTCTGTGCCTTTCAGTGACTGATTCTTTAGTTGCTGAGTAATACTGCCTTGTGTGAACGTACCGTTGTTTGTTTATCCATCACCTATTGAAAGCCGCCTTCGTTTCTTCTTAATTTTGGCAAATATGAAGAAAGCTGCTGTGAACATTCCAGTGCAGTCTTTGTGTGGACACAAGTTTTCAGTTCATTGGGTGACTCCCAAGGAGTGTGACTGCTGTGCCAGATGGCAAGAGTGTGTTTACTTTGATAAGAAACTGCCAGACTGCCCTTCAGAGGGCTGTGTACCCTGTTGCATCCCGTTGGCAAGAATGAGCTCTGGTGTTGTCAGTGTTTTCGGGTTCAGCCATACTAGTGGGTGTGCAGTGGGATCTCATTGTTTTAATTTATAATTCCCTAATGACATGATACTGAACATTTTTAAGTTTGTTTGCCATCTGTATATCCTCTTTGGGTGAGGTATATGTTCAGATTTTTTGCCCAGTTTTTAGTTGTTCATTTTCTTAGTGTTGAGTTTTAAGAGTTCACTGTATATTTTGGATAACAGTCCTTTATTAGATAAGCGTTTTGCAAAGATTTTTCCCTCAGTCTTTGGTTTGTCTTTTTATTCTATTAATGATGTCTTCTGCGAGCAGAAGTTCTTAATTTTAAATTTTAATGACTTCCAGTTTATCAATTTTTTCTGTTCACAGATCGTGGCTTTGGTGTTGTATCTACGAGGTCATTGGCAAACCAAGGTCAGCTAGGTTTTCTCTTGTGTTACCTTCTAGGACTACAGTTTGTGTGTTATATTTAAGTCTGTGATCCACTTTGACTTAACTTTTGTAAAAGGTTCTGTATCTGGATTTATTTTTGCCTGTTGATATTCAGTTGTTATATTCCATTTGTTGAAAAGACTCTTAATTTAATTGCCTTCGCTCCTTTGTCAGTGAGCAGCTGACTCTGTTTTGGTCTGTTTCTGGGCTCTCTCTGTTCCATTGACCATCCTGTCTATTCTTTCACCAGTACCAGTGTCCTGGTTACTGTAGCTTGATATTGGGTAGTATCAATCCTCTGATTTGTTCTTCAATATTGTGTTGGCTATTCTGGGTCTTTTTCCTCCATATAAACTTTAGAATCTAAAGTTTTTATGGATATTTGTCAATATCCATGAAATTACTTGCTGGGATTTTTTTATTGAGGTAGCACTGAATCTGTAGATCAATTTGAGAAGAACTGATGTCTTCACAATATTGTATCTTCCTATCCATGTACATGGACTATCTCTGTCAATTTAGATTTAATTTCTTTCATCAGAGTTTTGTCATTTTCCTCACATAGATCTTGTACATATTTTGTTAAGTTTATTTATACCTAAGTGTTTTAATTCTTAGGTAAGCCTTGCAAACCTGGGTGCTAATGTAAATGGTCTTGTGTTTTTAATTTCAAATTCCACTTGCTCATTTCTATTACAAAGGAGGGCAATGGACTTTTGTGTATTAACCTTATACCCTGCAACTTCGCTATGATCACTTATTAAGGACAGGAGACTTTTTTTGTTGATTCTTTGGGATTTTCTGGATAGACAATGTACAAAGACAGTTTTATTTCTTCCTGACCAATCTTGTATACCTTCTATTTCCTTTTCTTATACTGTTGCATTAGCTAGGACTTTCAGATGTTGAATCAGCACCACTGCTCTAAACAACTATGCTAACCGGTGACCCCAGGACTTCCAGTAGATGTTGAATAGGAGTGGCAAGAGGAAACGTCCTGCCTTGTTCCTGACCTTAGCAAGGAAACATCTGTCTAGTTTCTCGTTATGCGTAACGTTAGCTGCAGGTGTTAGTAGAGGCTCTTTATCGAGTTGAGGCAACGCCCCCTCTCTTCCTAGTTCACAGAGGGTCGCTATCATGAATAGGTTTTAGGATTTTGTTAAATACTTTTTCTGCATCTATTGATGTGATCATGTGATTTTTATTTTTAGTCTGTTGATGTGGTTTTTGAATGTTGGACCAGCCTTGCATCTCTGGATTAAACCCCACATGTTTGTGGTATATTATACTTTTTTGGATTCAATTTGCTAATATTTTGTGGAGAATTTTTGCATCTATGTTCATGAGAGATACTGGGCTGTAGTTTTCTTTTCTTGTAATGTGTTTGTCTGGTTTTGGTATTAGGGTGATGCTGACCTCATAGAATGGGTTATCCTTTGGAAGAGATTATAGAGAATGGGTATAATTTCTTAAATGTTTTCTAAATGTAGGATGAATTGTAAATGAATTCTAAATGTAGAATTCATCAGTGAACCCATCTGGGATCCGTGCTTTCTCTTTGGGAAGGCTGTCAATTACTGATTCAATTTCTTTACTAGATACAGGCCTATTCAGATTGTCTATTTCTTCCTGTGTGAGTTGTGACAGATGGTTTCTTTCAAGGAATTGGTCCATTTACTCTAGGTTATTAAATTTGTGGTCATAGAATTGCTCCTAGTACTAGTATTTCTTTATTATCTTTTTAATGTCCATAGGATCTGTAGTGATGCCCCCTGTTTCACTTCTGATATTAATAATATGTGTCCTCTTTTTTTTCTCTCTCTCTCTCTCTCTCCTTAGGTAACCTGGTTAGGGGCTTGTTGACTTTATTTATCATTTCAAACAACCAGCTTTGGGGTTTGTTGATATTCTTTACTGATTTTCTGTTTTCAGTTTCATTGATTTCTGCTCTAATTCTGGTTATGTCTTTTTTCTGCTGACTTTGGATTAATTTTTTTTTTAATTTGGCAAAGGTGTGTATTATGGTCCAGAATGTGGTTTGTCTTGGTAAATGTTCCATGTGAGCTTGAAAAGAATGTATGTTCTGCTGTTGTTAGATGAGGTATTCTATAAACATCAGTTAAATCCCATTCTGTTGGATCTGTCACATTACGGATAAAGGGCTATAGAAATCTCCAACGACAGTAGTGAATTCATCTGTTCTTCTTGTTGGTCTGTCAATTTTTGTCTCACCATTTTAATGCTGTGTTGTTGGGCATGTGTACATTAAGGACTGTTATGTCTTCTTGGAGAATTGATGCTTTATCTTCATTTTACACCTCTTTTTATCCCTGACAATTTTCCTTGCTCTGAAGCCTGCTCTATCTGAAATTAACATAGCTACTCCAGCTTTCTGTTCATTAGTATTAGCATGGCATATCTTTCTCCATCACTTTACTTTTTATCTATATCTTTATATTTAAGATGTGTTTCTTGTAGACAACATATAGTCGGGTCTTGGGTTTTTATCTACTGTGACAGTCTCTGTTCTCATTGGTATATCTAGCCTATAGATTGTTGACATGGTTGGATTAATATCGTCTACATTTGTTTACTGTTTTCTAGTCATTACCCTTGTTCTTTGTATCCTTTTTTGTCTTCCATTCTCTGCCTTCTCTGGTTGTAGTTGAGATTTTATGTGATTTCATCTTCTCTCTTCTCATAGCGTATCAATTATACCTTTTTTTTTTTTTTTTTACTTTTTTTAGTTGTTCCCTAGCATTTGCAATACTTATTTACAGCTAATCCAAGTTCACCTTCCAATAACATGATACCACTTCACAGGTAATGTGTGTACTGATAACAGAATATCAGTGTTCCTCTGTCCTGTCATAGACAGAGTGATATGACTGTCATTCATTTCACTAATCAATAAGCTGAATACATAGGAGATTTTATTTTTGTCCCTTCTACACTTTTCTGATCTGAGTTTCTGACCTATCTCATCAGACTTCTCTCTGAGGAACTTTTTTTTAACATTTCTTGCAAGGCAGGTTTACTGGTGACAGATTGCCTCAATGTTTGTTTGTCTCAGAAAGTCTTTATTTCCTCCTTACCTTTGAGGGATTGCCTGTGGACGCAGAATCCTTGGTGGGTAGTCTTTCCTTCCATGCTTACCATGCTCTCTGAAGAGGGGTCCTATGACTCTTGTCCTGGCAGGTGGTTTTATCGTGTCTTCTTTCGGTATTTTCTCCTCATCTCATTTCCTGCAGTTTGAATATCACATGGTCACAGGGTGAGGTGTAGGTTTTGGTACTTCTCTTACTTGGTATTATGAGATTCCTGGATCTCTGGCT